CTGGCCATGGGTGATTAATAGCTGGAGGAGGAGGAGGTGGTGCTGGTGTGACTGGTGCTAGGGCACAGCATCACTTGCTTGAGTCCTTGAGAGAGGAAACCTCTCTCTGTCTCTTTCATGGCTCCTTAGATCCAGAGATGCACTGGAAAAGTGTTTGTCCCACCCCTCTGGTTTATTTGTCAGGGCTTTGCAGTTGGGTGCCCTTCCCATCCATGATGGGATCCAGGCTGTCTGCCTGGGATGAGACCTTAACGCAGAGCTTGGTCAGGAGCAGCATCGAGCACAGGGCATTTAAAAGGATGCATTGGTTGCAAAAGATGGTTGAGTTGGGTCAGATATCTGCCCCCAGTCTTATCTTCAGAGCTTAACTAAAAGGCGGTGCCATGGTTAAGACCCCAGGGCATGGAATGGGGGATTCAGGTCTTAACCTTGCTATAGACTTCTGACCTGCAGCAAATCAGTTGGATATGGATGCACTGGGGATTTGGGACACAGGGGCATGCTTATTCTTGCTCTGGGTCCCTGTGACATTCATGGTCTCAGGCTGACAGCAGCCCAGCATCAACAGAGGGGTTAAAGGAGCTCCATCTCTCCAGGGATTATGGATTGTATTTACTTACCAAGTGCTTGGCAGCTCTTGGAAGCAAGGCATTATGTGGGATTTGTAGGCAATGCCATGGCTCTAATACAAAACACAGCATGGAAAAACCCATAGCCCAGCTCATTCCCTCACCTGAGGGACACGCTGTGACTCTGAGGGTGATGCTGAGGCTCTCAGGTCAAGATACGGGGTTGCTGATGAATAAAAGGAGGTGCTTACATTTGCCAGGTGATCCCAAACGGCAGCAGCTTAAAGGATCTCCTTTCAGAAGGCAGAAGCTGAGCACTCCGTAAACAGTTCTGAAACCCCTGGCCTTATGGTATCCCCTTGGTGTAAGAATCCTATAGCAGTGATTACGTATTCTGGCAGGGCAGCGTTGTTCTCCCTGTCCAAAGTACTCTGTGATGGGGAGGTGAAATCCTCCAGCATCAACATGTACCCTTGGCCATGAATCATGTGTCTGCAATAAGGAACCGAGCTGTGGGCTTGCTGATAGTGGTGAAGATAAAAGCCCTGCTTGCTTGCATTCGTTCCCCATCATTTTTAGGTGACCAGAAGAGATTAGTAGCACATAAACTGTCTTCCACAATAATTAGGCTTGATTTTTCTTCTGTGCTGCATCATTTTTGCTGTGCATATGTATAGAATGCAGAAGTCCATATGTCCTTCTAGTGCCTAAAGCGGCTGCAGGAAAGCTGGAGAGGGGCTTTGGACAAGGGCCCATAGGGACAGGCCAAGGGGAATGGCTTGAACCTGCCCGAGGGGAGACTGAGCTGAGCTCTTAGGCAGAAGCTCTTCCCTGGGAGGGTGCTGAGGCACTGGCACAGGGTGCCCAGAGAAGCTGTGGCTGCCCCATCCCTGGCAGTGCTCAAGGCCAGGTTGGACACAGGGGCTTGGAGCAAGCTGCTCTAGTGGAAGGTGATTCTGTTTCTGATCCTATGCCTTTTTCTGTACATGCATTTTCTGTAAGCATTTAATAAACCCAAGTGTTTTCAGGTCATTTCCATAATGCTTTCTGCATGCAATTTTCAGTGCATCTTGAGCTCCTCACTGAAAGCATATTTGGGCTGCTTTTTATTGGCCTCTTGCAATCTAATAAACCATGAATCCACTTAGCTCACAGGCATTATTTTGTACCCTGCCATTTAAAACGCTGCCTCATGACCACCCAGTTTTACAGGCATTTCCCCTCCTGATAAACCATGCTGCATGTTGAAGGTCTTGTGCTCTCTGTAGCACATGAGAGCCCTCCATACCCCAGCGATGTGGTGACTTAGAAGGTTGATGTGCCCAAACATGCCCTGTATTTCCTTAAGGCCGATATATACCCCCCTGCCTCATGCAGCCCCTTGGCACTGCAAGTTATTTCTCTTCTGGTGGAGTTTGGTGCCAAAACCCTCTATCAGATGGTTCCTCACAGAAAGACTGTATAAAGAGACGATGGGAGATGCATGAAGCAGCTCATTGGGCTCAAACCACACAGAACTAAAAGATCACCGTAAATAAGTGTCCATATTCCCGGGCAAATCTGTGTTTTTTAAATGCTTTCCATGCTTTTGAAAGCCGAGTGATGGGTTTCAGATGCATCTGCAATTCCACATCCCTTCTTGAAAAGGCAAAGGCTCTGCGGTGCGAGGGAGGGATGTTTAACATACCACATTTGGGGCCTTTATTGAATTAGAAAGAGCAAATATTTCCCTGAATAGAAAAACCACACATTTTTCTAGTTGCAAACAACCTTTTAACCCCATTCCCAGGGCAGGAAAACAATCCTGCAGGACTAGAGCTACAGAAAGGCAAAAATAAGGCATTTTGCTTGGCTTTCCTCCTCTTGGGGAATTAGGGCTTTGTGTTCATCAGTCAACGGAGGTTTCCTTCTGAGCCTCATGATCTGCACCCGCTAAGTAAGGCAAATCCAGATTAGAGCCTCTCACAAGAGAAATACAGGAGAGATCATGAGGGGAGGAGTTGGGGCTTGTTTCTCAAATCAAAGCCAGTCACAGTGGGCATGCTGGAAGGCAACGCACTGCGTTGTGTTAGCTTTCAATGGTCCTTATTTGAGATGAAAGCTTGGACGTCCTCCGCTCCTGTCGTTTTTGCCTCCAACTGAACCAATTCCAAGCTGCAGAGTCCAAATCCAAGTGTAACTTGGATCAGGGCACTCCTCCTTTCTTAAGGTTGCGTTGGAGGAGTTTTAATCCTCTGGACAGCTCGGTGTGAGGCTGAAATAGCACAAAAGCTTCTTGTCTTACGGTGTTTCAGCTCTGGCCTCTCGAGAAGATGAGTCCTCTCATTGCCCTGAGCCCCCTGAGTAGCAGTAAGGATGCCTATGAATTATTATATGTAATGTTATATTGACCACACACCTCTCTGGGTTATAGAGATCCCTGAGGGATCGGGGACATGTTCCAGCCTGAGGGACAACAATGACCTTGAATGAAGCCTGTTTTATATATAGGCAACACTCTCCCATGACCGCTCTTCTCCAGTGCTGCTGTCTTCTTTTGCCTTCGGTCTTGCATGTCCTTGGCCTCTGTGGGCAGTTGGGAATCACAGAATCCCACACTGGTTTGGGTTGGAAGGGACGTTAAAGCTCATCCAGTTCCAACCCCTGCCACAGGCAGGAACACCTTCCACTAGAGCAGCTTGCTCAAATGCAGCTTCTCCATGAGGCTGGGACAGTGTTGTCATTCCTACAGATCCAACCCCTATGGTCTGTACCAGCGCTTGCTACCCTTGCCCATTCTATGCCCTGGACCCTGCATCCTTCTCCCTCCCCATTTTCTACATCCCCACAATATCACTGCATCCATCTGCCTATCTGATGTGCCCCCAAATCGTGTCTCTCTTGCACTGCAGCACCTTTGCTCTGTTTCCCATTGCATCAAGCTCTGAGCTCCTTGTCCTCACCTGCATCCCCAGAGCACCCTGCACTGTCTCCCTGGGGACATCTCCATCACTCCCCTCCAGCAATGACTCCTATCAGGATGCTTGTAGAAGGTCACGGCAGAATTCCTGGGATCTGTGGGTGGCAAATAGCAGGGAAGGCAGAGGAAAGGGTAGGAAAAAGCAACTGGCATCAGGATAAAGCTTGGAATGTGATGAACACCAAAATAAAAAGGGTGTGAGAGAATTATATTCCTGGTGCATAAATCTTCCTCCTGCTTAGGCACCTCCATCCTTAAGGACAAAAGAAAAAGCCTATTTATAGAAAGCAAGAAGAAACCATAGCAGGTGACCTGCTTTATTTGACTGGATTAAGTGTGGGATTACAGCAGCGTTTAGAAATGTCGATAAGGGCTCTGTCAAATTCCTCCCTGTTGTTCCCTTGTTTTCTGGGAATAGCAGGGATTTGCAGCAGGTTATTCAGATTAAGAATCCAGTGGAGTGATTTGATGAGGGCAGGAGGAAAGGGAAAAGGAAACGAAACACAGTGAGGGAGTATTGTCACAATGGGGTATTGCCAGTGGAGAAACAGCTCTGTGTGGTTCCCTTGTTAAATGCAGCTCTCGGGGTAAATCAATCCTGTGTTCTGCAGGATGTTTTGGGGCTTCTTTCAGGTGGAGAATGGGATCTGGGAAGAGAAAGGAATGGAAAGGGAAAAGGTGATGGGGTAAAGGCTCCAAAACTTCCACGTTGCAAAATCCCATGAAGAGCAGAGTTTATTAAAGTTCTGGATATCAAGAAGCAGCAGCTGCTTAAAGCCTTGATCCTCCACCAAATGTGGCTTTATGAGCCATATTTCCTGCCCCAAATCACTTCTCCCATCTCCTGGCCATGCTCCCTCCTTAGGAAATAAGAGAGATGGTGCTTCCATAGCTGGTGACTAATCCAAGGTGTTCCCATGAAGAGGTGTCTGGGGTTAAATGATAAGCAGGAAAAGTGGAGCCCAGGTAGGAAAAACCCTCTGGATGAGCCTTTGCCCTTTATAAATGCTTTACTTCTTTTGCCCTGGTGGGGTACAGCATCGTGATGCTGCTTGTGGGTACCCAGCACCATGCTACAAGTATGAGCTTTGTGATAACTGTGGTTTAGGTGATGGGAAAAGAGCCCAGAGCAACTAAAGACGTGAAGAGCACAAGCAAGCAATGAGTATTTGTTGATGTAGACAAACTGTATTTAAAAAGACAGGTGTACTCAGCAGAAATTATGGCTCATCATTCCATTTCCAGCTGAATATAATGCGAAGGAAACCTTCAGGAATTCCTATTTCCCTGGAGGGAAGCCATACTGGAAGTGGGAGTTTTCTGCTGGAGTGTTTGAGTAGTGCTGGCCACAGATAGGATCCTTTCTTCTTTATATCTTTCATGTGTCCTATAGGGAGAAAAGATGGAAACTCTTTCCCTACACCCATGCAAGTGATGGGAAAATCAAGTCTTTCTCCCTACACTGTACAGACCATATGTTGTTCTGGAGGTAAGGGAAAACTTGGAGCTTGATCTCCATGGTTTCATCTTGCTTGAGGAGCTCTATATGAATTCCAGGTGTCTGTCTTCTGGGATGTTATATTTAGCTTTGTGCTCCTCAAAGAGCTTGCTCAATTCGTTTAGGTATTTCTCATGGACTCGATCCACCTCTTCCTCAGAGGGTTTGCGGTTCCTCTGCACTGGAATTGGTTTCCCAACTGGAAAACAAACACAGGCATTAGGAACAGACAGTGTCAGGTCCCTCTGAAGGGTTTGCACATCTTGGCACAGAGCTGGGGTCTCCAAGGATGCACTGGATGGATTGACAGGACCAGTCATATCCTGGAGTTTGGGGGTAGCACAGCCAAGGAGGTAAGGAGATGGAGGTTCAGATACTGGCTCTGATGTTGGTCTCAAAGGTCTCATCTATCTTTGCCTCAGTTTCCCCATCTGTAAAGCTGCTTAATGCCAAAGACCCTCTGTGTAGCATTATGAAGTAGAAAGTGCTGCATCCCAATGCGGTCCCTCCAGCCTAACATCTCAGATGTGCTGCACATAAAGACAACATCATCCTAATGATGTTTCCATGTGGCCTTGGGAATCTGCATGGCAAATGGGGACACTGAGGCACTGGGGAGCCCCAGACCACTTAAATACACTAGTGATTGGGATGCTTCCACTTTACTCAGATTAAAGATTCTGTGAAACATCTGGTTTTTATTAGTGCCCATATATCTCTATGAAATCGTGCTTTTTTTCAAGGGTAAATCTAATTAATTTGATTCCTATCAATAGAAGAAGCTCCTTCCCACCTCCCAGAGCCACCAGCAGCAGGACCAGGCACCTGCAAAGGACATGAGGTCCAGGTGATGCCTCTCTTGCTCTCCTCTCTTACTCAAACTGTGTTTGTCAAGCGCGGGAGGGTTTCATCATTGAGTAAGGCTGCTCCTCCTCAGGTTAATGAAGAGCCCTTGTGATACTGCACAGCTCATAAACCCCTTGAGACAATCCAAACAGGTTGTAAAGCAATTAGAAGTAATTGCTGGCTGTCAAACCTCATCAGTGGGGCGAGATCTGACCTTTCCAAACCACCTCTTTCATTAGGCTACTTCACACAGCATCAACCGCTCTGATGGGTTCCAACAGCTCCGTGGGGCAAGGATGGAGTTGATGAAACCAGGCAGAAGTGCTTCAAAACCAAAGGCTTGCTTTGAATTTGGTCTCCTATGAGCATGATCTCTGCTGGAAACATCTTGCCATGCAAATAGGTTGAGGGTTGCAGCTGTGTCTGCATGGGACACTGAGCAAACCTGCAAACTGCTTAGGTGTTGCCCTGTTTGTGCTTGTAAAATTGGCTTGGAAGAAGTATAACCCACTGTTATTGCAGTGGTTTTTATTACTGGGTTGTGCTGGGTTTGGCTGCATCCCACACAGATAATGAGATGGATGTGTGTGCTCTGGAGCTTTGCTTTGATGCATAGATGGCCTGGGCTTTGTCTTAAGGCCAAGACAGAGATCCAAATCAGCGTGACACATGAGCAGTTGAGGATGCTTCGTTGCCAGCATGTTTCTAGCCCACCACAGCATGATGCTCCAGCTTGGCATCTCCATCCAGGACAATAACACAGCCCAGGGGATGTCCCTCGTCCCCCCACTGGCCATGCTGAGTGTAGCTGTATTGTGTTGGCCAAGGAAGGACTTACCCACAGTGTAGATAGGCCGACGGTAGGGTACCAACCCGAAGCTGTACTGGAAGATGCCCCTTGCATGGAAGAGGGGAAGGGAGATGCCCATGAACTTCTGGAGCTGGTGCTGGACCCTCCGTAGCCAGGAGCCCTGGGGGTTTCTTACTTGCTCAAAGAGGTCATTCTCCCCAAAGGAAAAGACAGGGACCAGGGGCGTGCTGTGAGGAGTTGAACCCAATATGAGGGCATGAAGATCAGCAAAGCCCACCCCAAAACACCTTCCCCCCTCTCAAATAGTTCTTCTGCAGGGGGTTGGTACTAAATGATCGCAAGGTCCTTTCCAACCCAAACCATTCCATGATTCTATGATTCTCAAACCAGCAGGAACACCCCATGAAGCAGCCACATCCCTCCCCAAGGGCCCCTTGAGCCCATCCCCTGCATCACCCATGCTCGATGGCCAGGCGAACAAATCCCTTCCTCTTCTTCAGCAGCAAGGTGCAGGATCCCGGCCGAGCATCCAGCGCCTCCCGTGCCCCACCGATGATGATGGCCAGCACATTCCCACCCTTTGGGTTCTTCAGCACGTAGGATGCGCTCTCCTTGTCCGAGGAGACAAGGCCTGTGGGGCAGAGAGGAAGAAAGCATCTATATCTGTAAAACCCACATGACTGTGGTTTGCTCTGTACCTTTTCCCCCCATTATCCAGCTCCAAAGGGATGCTGGACACCTTATTGTCAGAGTTTTCCTACACTTTGGCAATCTCAGCCCAGCTGCCCTCAAAGATGCTGGATTCATGGAATGATAGAATGGTTTGGGTTGGAAAGGACCTTAAGATCATCCAGTTCCAACCCCCTGCCATGTCACCCAAGACTTGCATGAACATGCAGTTCTCCCTTTGCTGTCTGGCCTAAGAGTGAGAAACAGGGAAAAATCAGGGAAAAAAGTAAACTGAGGACTAAGTGCTCACAATCCCCAGGGAAAATCTGTTTCGGTTTGTTGTCAAATGAAACCCAGTTCAATCCTGACCAGCTCTAAAGTCAGGGAAGCATTTGCTTTAGGTTAAAAGAAGCACAGATTTCAGTGCATGCTGCTGGAGGGGGCTTGGAGCAATCTGCTCTAGTGGAAGGTGTCCCTGCCCATGGTGAGGGGTTGGAACTGGATGAGCTTTAATGTCCTTTCCAACCCAAACCATTCTATGACTATGGATTTAAAGTGGAATTTTACGCAGAATTTGGTCCCTGGATGTTATTTCCTTGCAAAATCTCAAATCTTTCATTCGGGAAATGACAGAGCAACATGGGTTTGATTCTTTAAAGAAACCCTTGTTTCAGGAGCAATTTAAAACCTCTTTGTCCAAAGGATGCAATGGACCTAAAAATGAGCTCTGCACCCAGCTCCCACATTGCAGTGATTAAACCATCCCTCGCCTGGGCCAGATCTCTCCCATATCTCACTGTTATGATTCCTTGCTCTCCATGTAAATATTTTTCCAGCAGCAGGAGCCAGAGTTTATGTGGAAAACAGGATGATGACAGCCCCGGGGTATCTCAGGAGGACCTGGATGCCTGTGTTTAGTCTATTGAATCCCACATACAGGATGGGCCCATTGAGCTGCAGAAGGGACTGTTTCCCAAGCTCACCGGTGAGAGGAGGAGGTCATCTCTTCCTGGTGTCTATAACTCTCTCCACATTCCTTTCCCCTTCTCTCCATCTATTTTTTACCTATTCCTTTTCATTCCTGCTTCCCCTCCTGCCATGTGGTTTTGCAACAGTGGGAGCTGCTGTTTGCATCCTCTCTTATATGCTTTACAGAATGGGCTGAGATTGGAAGGGACCACTGAATTTTAGTTAGTCTAACCTCAATCAGGGTCACCCACAGCACGTTGCTCAGGATTGTGTCCATAGAGCTCCTAAATATCTCCAGGGAAAGAGGCTCCATAACCTTTCTGAGCAACCTATGTGAGCTGCTGGAGTAGGTTCAAAGAAGGGCAATGGAGCTGATGCAGGGCCTGGAGCCCAAGTGTGATGGGGAAGGGCTGAGGGAGCTGGGGGGTTCAGTGTGGAGAAGAGAAGGCTCAGGGGGGACCTGATGGCTGCCTACAAGTGCCTGAGAGGAGGATGGAGCCAGGAGGGGCTGGGCTCTGCTCCCAAGGAACAAGGGATGGGACAAGAGGAACCGGCCTCAAGCTGCACCAGGGCAGGTTTAGATGGAGCTGAGGAACAATTCCTGCCCCAGAGGGTGCTCAGGCATTGGAACAGGCTGCCCAGGGCAGGGCTGCAGTCACCGGCCCTGCAAGTGTTCACACCCCGTGGAGACGAGGCCTCAGTGCCATGGGGCAGTGGTGGCCTTGGCAGTGCTGGGGAACGGTTGGACTGGATGAGCTTAAAGGGCTTTCCTGACCTCATTGATTCTATGATTCTGTGATTCTATTCTGATGCTCAGAAATTCTTCCTCATGTTCCTGTGGACCTTTCTATGGTTTATGCTTGTTGCCTCTTGTTCAGAGCAAAAATTAAAAGGTATGGCAGCAATTTTCAGTGCTGAATGAAATCTAACCCCATATTTGTATGAAATACAGCAATACAGTCTGAGAATTCTCCTCCCCATAACATGTTTTGCAAATCACAGACCACCAGCAGAGAATCAGTGTTTTTCACTCCCCACAGTTCAGGCACTCACTTTGCACATCACGTGTTAAGTAGATCAGGCAAATCTAAGTACAGGAGAGAGAAGCTCCAAGAAATCCACAAGAAACCCATTCTCAGCCTATTTGTGGCACAAAGACTATTGAGTATCTTAAAAATAAGCCAACAGTTTGTATTTGTTGAAGGTTGGACTGGGCTTGGAGCAAGCTGCTCTAGTGGAAGGCATCCCTGCCCATGGCAGGGAGTTGGAACTGGATGAGCTTTAAGGTCCCTTCCAACCCAAACCAGTCTGGGATTCTGTGATTTTACCATGAACAAGTGTTGCTTAGAATACAGGACATTTCTGACAGTGTATTTACCTTTCCAAGTGCATCAATAAATGATGCAGTAGTTTCTTAGCAAACACAGTAAGTTAATGTCTTCCCACATTCTTTGCAATGGAATCCATAAGGTGCATGGGATCCATCAGCGTAGATAAGGACAAACAGACCCTTGACTCCTCTTCCCCTTGTGGCTTCATCCCCTGTTCCCCCACTCATCCCTGCTTACCTCCACTCATCAGGTAGTCCCTGAAGAAGGGGATGCGAAACCACATGGGGAGGATCATCAGGTGTGGGGTGATGCCCGGGAAGAGCGTGGAAAAGCCCGATGCCTCCGTGCAGAAATTGATAAAGGCTCCTGCTGCCAGGACCCCATGGGGATGAAATCCCATCAGGTAGTTCTGCCTAGGGTCCAGCTCCACCGTCTTCACCAGCTGCAAGCCAGATGGGAGCAAAAAGGGGCCATGAGTTAGTGCTGCTGCCTTACGGGGCTGGAGCATTGGCTATGGGGAGCAGATGGGGGATCCTTGGAAGGGGGTCCATGGCATAGTTTTGTTCCTGCTGTACAAGAAGGATGTGGCTGGGCTGGAGAGGGGCCAGAGAAGGGCCACAAAGATGCTCCAAGGGCTGGGCAGCAGTGAGGAAAGGCTGAGAGAGCTGGGACTGTTCAGCTGGAGAAGAGAAGGCGCAGGGAGACCTGATCCATGTGCCAGGAGGTAAAGGGGGGCTGCAGGGAAGATGGAGGCTCCCTTTGGACAAGGAGTCCCATGGGAGAGCCCAGGGGTGATGGGCACAAGTTACTGCTGGGAGATTCCCAAGAGGGAAACTTTTCCAGTGATAATGACCACCACTGGAATAATGCCCCCAGGGAAGCAGTGACCCCCCAGCGTTGGACACTGTTAAGATGGGGCTGCACAGGGTGCTGGGCATCCAGTCTAGGTCATTCTTTGCCTGGAAAGGTTGGAGCAGATGATCCTTGAGGTCCCTTCAACCTGGGATTCTGCATTTCTATGACTGGACGTCTGCCCAAGTTTTACCAGGAAGAGGGAATGTGGAATGCCTGTGTCCAGTGTATAGGGATGGACAGCACGGATTGCAGGCACAGCCCTTGGAGGCTACCTAAGCAGCTGCATGAAACACTCGGGCAGTCTGCCGCTGGGTTTGAAGCCTGGGAGATCCTACATGGGACAGCAGAGATAAGGCACAACCAGGATGTGGACCCTGTGGGTTACACTCGCTATGGACTCCCCAGAGGAGAGGGGCTGCTGTTGCAAACCCACCCTCCAGCTATGCCGCTGAGAAGACCCTGCCCTGCCAACACCAGCCAACAGGAGCGGTCCAAACTGAGTGATTCCTGTGGATGCCGAGGATGCTCACAGCACCAGGGAAGGATGAACCCTCCCAAGGTTAACCCTAACAGAGCCACCATGAATCTCCATTCAACTCAACAGCCCCTGTGCTCAAGAAGAACCAAAGCCCAGCGCCTTTTACCACGTCACCCCTCCAGCAGCCTGGTCCCATCCTCCCTCGGGAGCAGCTCCTGGTGCCTGTGTTTTCCTAGAAGCAGCCAGAACCACAGGTTAATCACGAGGGTGCATTTTACTTTCTTACATCATGGCTAATTTCCCCTCTGCCCTAAGGCTCTGTTGACTGTACACATGTGCCCATTCAAGCGCCTGCTCCTAATGAGAGGAATGGACAAACAAGGGTTCCACTGCTGCCCGGTGTAGAGGTACCTAAGCAGGAAGAGGGGCAGATGGCTGAGTTACTGAGTGCCTGGGGCCCCTGCCTCCTTTTTGAGTCATTTCAGCTTACATCAATGTTTCCTGCATCCATCTTCTGCTTCCAAACAGCCTTTCATCCCTGGGTGATTTATAGGAGGGAGGTGAGATGCTCGGGTGTGTTGGAAACATGCTGTATGTGTGCAGCATAGAAGAGGGGATGACAGCAGGCTCAGTGCCTGGTTGTAACCCAAGGTCACTGCATCCTCCTTGATAATGAAGAGTTGAGCTCAGGGTACCCACTGAGCTGTGCAGACTGCTTCAGTGGGAGTTCACCTGCGATAAGGCACCTTATAAGACATCCCAATGTGCTGGTGCTCTGGTTAATGTTTCCTGCATTATAACACAAGAGTTGTCCCTGCAATAGCTCTGACAACATCTTAGTGACCAAGTTGAATTCTGTGCCTCTATTAGGTTTGTAAACTGGGCATTTTTCAGGCATAAGGAAAGGATGGAAGAGAAGGTCCTCATTTTGTCATAGTGTCTGCTCCCATTTGGATGACATGGGCAGGACTTGAAGCCAAAGAGCTTGTACAAGGCAACCTGACCTATTTGAAGCTGTCCCTGCTCATTGCAGGGGGGCTGGACATGATGAGCTTTAAAGGTCCCTTTGACCCAAACCATTCTATGATTCTATGATCTGTAGCAGAGGAGAGACTTTGGTCTTGACTTTGGTCAAGCCCTCTGGACTCTAAGCCTGGAAAATCTCCCTCTGGAAACTGTTTAACACAGAAGCTCCATCCTCCCACTTATTGTTCCCAGTGTTGGTTCACTTCTTCCCTGTCTCCATGCCAGAGGTCAACCTCTGTTCCCAGACTGCCAGGGAAGTTAATGCTTGACACCAGACAACCCAACTCTCCTGCAGTGAAGAGCTCAATGGGGCTGGGGTTGAGGTGCAGAGGGCTGTGAATCCCCTCCCTCCTGCCGTGGGTGCGTTGGCATCTCCTCACCCACCGGATGGCATTTGCTGCTTTAGGTTTTCTGGCTGAGTTGAAGCTTTAATCATTGCCAAAGGACTCAAGGGTCCAGCCAGGCTGGTCCGTGAGTAAACAAGGGGTTGAACCAAAGTTTCCTTGGTGAGACAAGGCCAGTTTCTCATCTCAGCATGTCGCATTAATGTGTGCCTCTGCTCTGGAGCCAGGCTGAGAGAGCTGGGCTGGGGCAGCCTGGAGAAGAAAAGGCTCCTGAAGGGGAGACCTGAGAGCAGCTCCAGTGCCTAAAGGGGCTGCAGGAAAGCTGGAGAGGGGCTTGGGACAAGGGCCTGTAGGGCCAGGCCAAGGGGAATGGCTTTAACCTGCCCGAGGGGAGACTGAGCTGAGCTCTTAGGCAGAAGCTCTTCCCTGTGAGGGTGCTGAGGCGCTGGCACAGGGTGCCCAGAGAAGCTGTGGCTGCCCCATCCCTGGCAGTGTTCAAGGGCAGGTTGGACACAGGGGCTTGGAGCAAGCTGCTCCAGTGGAAGGGGTCCAGTTTGGATAGGACTTCACCACCCTCATTCGCAGTTCTGGGTAAGGATGGCAGCTCCAAAAAGCCCAAGTGTTCTCTTGCTCTTGTGCGATGCTGCTTTTGGAGGTCTTTAGGACCTCCTATATCCTTATCCTTACGGTAGGACACAGTCCTGTGGTGGACCTGACCCCAGCCATGGCCTCTTTCTTACTTAAAGTCAAAGAAGAGAGGGTCAAGAGCAGGACAGAGGAGTTCCTCAGGAAGGACACAGTTGTGGCTCTGGGCCATTTGGCCATGGCTTGCTTTTGCCCTAAGGACCTCTCATCTCTCCTTCAGCCAAGAGAAGGAAGCAAAGACCAGCAGTGCTATTTAACATCATGGGCCGTGACACAAAACCCCCAGTCACAAATAACATCATTCTTCTATGAAAAGAAGGAAAACATTCCTGGTCGGGCTGGGTGCACGTGAAGTGGAGCTCTTCCCCCTCCGCAATGCCTTGTACCTCCCCAGAAGCACGATATACCCTCAAACAACCCCGGTCATGGTTCATGCAGTTATGAGAATGAATGAGTTATGGGATGGAGCCATCCCAGATCACAGCTCCTAGGGTTCAACAAGTTCTCTAATAGCTCATTTTAGTTATGCTAACAAAGAAGCCCAATGTAGCCTGTCCCCAGGCGCAATGACACAGGTTGGGACTCTGCCAGTTGCTATAGATGTTAAGGTCCAACTGACACTTAGATAACCCCAAGGCTGGTGAAATGTGTCCTGTGGCTCTTCAGAAGGGAAAAAACAGCGCAGTGAAGGCCACAGGGACCTTGGCCGCATAAAAGACACTTTTGAGGCTGCACTGAATAAAGCTGCTAAGATGGTGCCTGCTGGGGTTGCTTTGAATGATGACAGCACCCAAAGAAAGAATTTGTCCCTCTAAGACCTTAATTTTAGCTTCCAGATGACAGATTTAACTCGTAATCCAGGTTGTGTGATAAAGGTGAAATGTCTTCTCTAAACCAAGCATCCAACCCTAACTTATAGCCACCAAGAAGGATGGTGACTTCTGCTTGGGGACTACAGTAGAGATGGATCTCATCAAGCTTATGCTTTAGAATCACAGAATCATAGAATCGTTTGGGTTGGAAAGGACCTTAAGATCATCCAGTTCCAACCCCCTGCCATGGGCAGGGACACCTCACACTAAACCATGGCACCCAAGGCTCTGTCCAACCTGGCCTTGAACACTGCCAGGGATGGAGCATTCACAACCTCCCTGGGCAACCCATTCCAGTGCCTCAGCACCCTTACAGGAAAGAACTTCTTCCTTAGATCCGACCTGAACTTCCCCTGTTACAGTCTGAACCCACCACTCCTTGTCCTATCACTGCAGTCCCTGATGAAGAGTCCCTCCCCAGCATCCTTGCAGCCCCCTTCACACACTGGAAGCTGCTCTGAGGTCTCCACACAGCTTCTCTTCTCCAGGCTCAACAGCCCCAGTGTTCTCAGCCTGGCTCCATACAGGAGCTGCTCCAGCCCCTGAGCATCCTCGTGGCCTCCTCTGGACTTGTTCCAACAGCTCCATGTCCTTTTTATGTTGAAGACACCAGAACTGCACACAATGCTGCAAGTGGGGTCTCACAAGAGCAGAGCAGAGGGGCAGGATCATTCCCCATTTCACCCTCGTCCTCATCTTCTGCACATCAATGGCTCTCCTCAGCTGAGGGTACCAAAACACCCTGGCTGTGTGAGGGAGGTTGGTGACAGTGGGTTTACAGTATCAGAAGGTGATGGGGCTGGGAAGAAGCAGCAGTGAAGATGTGCATCCCCATGGCCACGAGATGGAGAAGTTTGGTTTGACTGTAATGCTGAGTGCATCCTTCCTAATAAAGATGTGCTGATAAATTATCATGAAAACCATGCAAGTAAACATAAGGGGGTTGACCTGGATGAGCTTTAAGGTCCCTTCAACCCAAGCCATTCCATGATTTTATTAAAAACATAGGGGGATGAAGCAAAGCTAACTTTCCTGTGCAATGCACGGGACTTCACCTGGAATTCTCACTGTTTTCTTGTCCTTTACCTTTCAAAACCACTCAAACTTACTCAGATCCTGCCTGACCCTATAGCAAACCCCTAACTAAAAGCCGTCCATCTCCAAGGGGAATAACCCAAGCAGCAGCGGGATTTGTGCAAGGGTGGCATCAGCAGAGGGTGCTGCTTGCACACACTGAGCGCAGAGCCTGCTCAATCCCATGTGCCCGACACTGCAGCACCGTGCCAATCCGTGCTGCTCAGATCCCTAGGAAACAGATGCTCATCCCAACGTCTCTCTGCTTCCAGGACTGCAAACATGCGCAGGGATCCTTTACAGGCAGCATTTAAAGCCACTTCCTAAACTGAAATAGGCAGCTCCTCCTGTCTCCAATCACTGATGCTTGGCTAGGCTGAGCTCGCTGCTGGGACCTGGAGGATTAGGAGACAAGTTGAATCTTCCCTGGATGACTGATTCTCCAGGGCTGAACAGACTCAATCTGTGCACAAACACAGCCCAGGGAGGCGGGTGCCCATCTGGGTCCATGTCCCCAAATACCACTCCCCTTTTGTCCCTGTGCTGGATGGGGATTTGGGAAGTGGGGTTGTTCGGTCTGGAGAAGAGAAGGCTCCTGAAGGGGAGACCTGAGAGCAGCTCCAGTGCCTAAAGGGGCTGCAGGAAAGCTGGAGAGGGGCTTGGGACAAGGGATGTAGGGCCAGGCCAAGGGGAATGGCTTTAACCTGCCCGAGGGGAGACTGAGCTGAGCTCTTAGGCAGAAGCTCTTCCCTGTGAGGGTGCTGAGGCGCTGGCACAGGGTGCCCAGAGAAGCTGTGGCTGCCCCATCCCTGGCAGTGTTCAAGGCCAGGTTGGACACAGGGGCTTGGAGCAAGCTGCTCCAGTGGAAGGGGACCCTGCCCGGGGCAGGGGTTGGAGCTGGAGGAGCTTTAAGCTCCCTTCCAACCCAAACCATTCTAGGAGTCAGTGATTGTAAAGGCAAGGTCCAGCTGTGCACATTCAGATCGAAAGCTCAGCTTAGTTCACTGTGACAGCAGTGTACAGGATGGTTAAAGCAATGTTTCAAATGCTTAACTTCCACCCCGCTAGGCACAAATCAGCTCATGCCCAGTGCTATGAAATGAAATCCTTTCCATACAAGGAAGCAAACACATTTGGGGTTTTAACTGGGGAAAAAAGCTGGCACATGTGGGATGTAACAGAGTATAAAACCAGGAATGGCCTGGGTATGTGGGGCAGGGTTTGCATGGGCTAACCAGGGAGTTTCGAGTGAAACAAGTAGGGAGCAGGGAGGTGTTCACATTGTGTGGTTCACCCTTGCTGCAGGATGCTGGGGATGCCAAATGGTTTTCCATGATATAGCGGCAAATGCGTTCAGAATGGGCTGCTAAATCTTATATTGTGGCTTAGAAAGTGCAGAAGACTGAGAAGCTGTCTTTGGGAAATAGCATGACGTGATTGCTTGGTTATAATACTCTGGTCATCACGGTTTGGTTTCTGATGTCCTTTTGTGCACCCTCCTCTGACTTCTCCCACCCCAGCCATAAGGAAGGCTCCAGGGAACCTTTCCTGGCCTTCAATCCCAGTAACCACACTCCCTCTATTGGTCTTTAATGGTAAAGGTCTTACTGGTCTTACGGGCCTGCACCCAGGAAAGGAAGGGCAAACACTGCCCCATGGGGTTCATAAGGGGTTCCATGTCCTTACAGAGGGATGGGAGAAGAATTGTTGCTCTGAGCAGGCAGCCAAGATTTAGCAGAGAGGCTGGTTGGACACTGCCCAAGCAGCAGCTTATGGCCAGGAATAATTTAAAGAGCCTATATTGCATATAATCATTACAGCCACATAAATAGCTCAAGGATTCTAGCATCTTCTAAGGCAAAGCTTGAGAATAATTTATCAGGAGCCCATCCTGTGTTTCCTATTAAATGTCATAAAATATAACCTGTCTCTTATGACAAAGCTCCCTGCAAGGTTTCCTGGGATGTGTTCCCATTCCTCCCCATAAAGTCATGATAAACCTTTTGGGAACCTTCATTGAAGCTCATCCAGAAGCCCTTAAATCACAGAATCATGGAATCATCCAGGTTGGAAAAGCCCTTTAAGCTCATCCGCTCCAACTGTTCCCAGCACTGCCAAGGCCACCACTGCCCCATGGCACTGAGGCCTCGTCTCCATGGGGTGTGAACCCTTGCAGGGCCGGTGCCTGCAGCCCTGCCCTGGGCAGCCTGTTCCAATGCCTGAGCACCCTCTGGGGCAGGAATTGTTCCTCAGCTCCATCTAAACCTGCCCTGGTGCAGCTTGAGGCCGGTTCCTCTTGTCCCATCCCTTGTTCCTTGGGAGCAGAGCCCAGCCCCTCCTGGCTCCATCCTCCTCTCAGGCACTTGTAGGCAGCCATCAGGTCCCCCCTGAGCCTTCTCTTCTCCACACTGAACCCCCCAGGTCCTACTCAGCCATTCTTCAAATCATATTTAATCTCAGAGATTTGCCATATATGACCCACAGCAGGTCCTCAGCATCACTTTCTGCCTTGCAAAGAGCAAAGAAACCCAATGGCAGACAATCAAAGGATGTGATTGTGAAAATGATGGTCTTCTTTTATACTGGGTCTTGCAGTAATCTGGGACCTGGGAAGATGATAGAATCATTGAATCATAGAACAGTTTGGGTTGGAAAGGACCTTAAGATCATCCAGTTCCAACCCCCCTGCCATAGGCAGGGACACCTCACACTAAACCATGTCATCCAAGGCTCTATCCAGCCTGGCCTTGAACACTGCCAGGGATGGAGCATTCACAGCTTCCTTGGGCAACCCATTCCAGTGCCTCAGCACCCTCACAGTAAAGAACTTCTGCTTTATATCCAATCTAAACTTCCCCTGTTTCAGTGTGAACTCACCACCCCTTGTCCTATTGCCTCAGTCCCTAATGAAGAGTCCCTCTCCAGCACCCTTCTAGCCCTCTTCAGATGCAGGTTAGAAAATGATGGATACATGATCCTTCAACACTGACCTCCCAGAGCCCCATGCCAGAAGTCCTTGCCCCAAACTGCCTCCAGACACCAAAGACAAAGGTGGTCCTTATGAAATCAGTGCTTATGGAATCGGCGGCACTTACCGTGATGGGGAAATAGTCCCTCATGTACCTCCAGACAACGCTGTTCCGGATGGCATGGATCCGTCTCCCACCTTTGCAGGGCTTCTCCCTGTCTTTGAACCACCACACGGCATAGAGGACACAGAGCAGCCAAAAACGGGTGAAGAAGAGGGCGATGAAGGCAGCTGTGCAGCACTGTGCTGAGGGAAAAGCCAGTGGTGAGGTAGCAGTTGGATCAGGTGGGCTTTGGGAAGGGAATGATCATAGGATCCCGGACTGGTTTGAGTTGGAAGGGACCTTAAAGCTCCTCCAGCTCCAGCCCCTGCCACGGGCAGGGACCCCTTCCACTAGAGCAGCTTGCTCCAAGCCCCTGTGTCCAACCTGGCCTTGAACACTGCCAGGGACGGGGCAGCCACAGCTTCTCTGGGCACCCTGTGCCAGCGCCTCAGCACCCTCACAGGGAAGAGCTTCTGCCTTATTTCCAGCCTAAATCTCCCCTGTTTCAGTTTGAACCCATCACCCCTTGTCCTATCGCTACAGTCCCTGATGAAGAGTCCCTCTCTAACGATGCACTTGGAGGGACTCTGGTGCTGGGACAGAGCCCATCACTGGGCTTGCTGCTGGGTTACTTCATCATTGTGAAGGCATCTTGGATGCAGGGAAGGTTTCTTTCCTATCTATACCCTGGAGAGGAACCAAGCACCACCCTTGCAGCAACCACCTAGTTCTCAAAGCCCACCATGTCTTCCTTTCCCCACAGTTTTCCTTGTGGATCAGAGCTCTGTCCCTTTGCTGTCTGGCCCTTCTCTGGAGTCAGACTGATCCCTGCAATGAAAATGTCCCTGTTTTACCCCAAACCTCCTGTTAATACACTCTGATGACACCCGGCATCTTGCAGTGGCAGCAGAACAGGGCACTGTGCCCTGTCTGTACAGTCCCCAACAGCTTTGTCCTGAGCTAATGAGTCACCATTTTAATTGTCCTTGATTTTTAATGTCATCTGCCCATATGTAAGATTTTACTCTTTATTGAGTTATTTCTTATTGATTTTGGACCTTTTCCTCCACTCCTTGGATTCACTCTCAGCTCTAATCCTGGCCTCTAGAGGATTTTCAGCCTTTTCAGTTCTGTGTCATCACTGATTTTAGAAGAATGATTTATTTCATTCCTTAAGACATTAATGATTTGGGACCTTCCCAAGCCATTAAAGACTTTTCTGAGCTGCTTCCAGTCACTGCTCAGCTTTTTCCTCCACCTTCCACCTCCTTCATGCCCTGTTTTGGCATGGGAACAGGAGAAGAAAAGGGTGTGCAAACAGGAATCACTTGTGGCATCAAATCCCACCAAAGTCTGCAGTGATGGGGAATTGCTGCTGGCCACCCAATGCCAACTTAGCAAAGCAGATGCCCTAAGAAGTGCCTGGGAAGAGCTGTGTCCTCTGGTGCTGTAGACTAAAATACCCCATTGATCAAAGCCCTTTGCTGTCCCCAGCTCATGGGTTACATCATGTGTGGTGGGTTCTATATGATGTTCTTCTCTGGATCTTCATCACAGATCCAGCACTCAGGGCTGAAGGATGTGAGGATGGAGATGCCCTGCTCAGCTTCCAGTTTAGGTAGATACACCCATGCCCTCATCCTCTGAGACCTGGATTGTAATCTTTGGGAGCCACCTGACTCCTGACCTCTCCAGCTCAGCTCGGCTCAGTCCTATGAGGGAAAAGGTACATGATGCTCTCATGTAAGACATCCTTGTACTTCCTGTTTACTTAGGATAAATTAGTAAGTATTTTTTTAGTCTTGGTTTTGGTGACAAGTCCCCCTTATCCCAGAGCTTTGCATGTAAAGATAAATCCCTGTGCCTAAAACCCTGGCATGATCATGGGGAACATAGAATCAGACTGGTTTTGAATGGAAAGGACCTTAAAGCTCATCCAGCTCCAACGCCTCCCACGGGCAGGGGCATCTTCCACTAGAGCAGCTTGCTCCAAGCCCCTGTGTCCAACCTCAGTCTCCCCTCGAGCAGGTTAAAGCCATTCCCCTTGGCCTGTCCCTACATCCCTTGTCCCAAGCCCCTCTCCAGGTTTCCTGCAGCCCCTTTAGGCACTGGAGCTGCTCTAAGGTCTCTTTGGAGCCTTAAACCTCCTTAAAGCTGAAATGGGATCTGATGTCCTCATGTAGGTAGAGACACTGTGCCTGGATCAGCACTAGCACAGAGCATGGGGAATCAGTGCAACAGAGCAACAGGTCCAACCCGTAATGCACCTTCCAGGCCAGCACAAATCACTGCTCATGCCTGGTGCCACTCCTTTCAAAGGCCACAGACACCATCTTTATAACCCTTGAGGAAAACAGCCCAGAGCATGAAACCAAGCTCCAGGGTCCACATGAGTCATGAACTCTGCTTGAGGAGCAATGCAGAGGTTGCACTTTTACTGCACATGGGAGCTGGGTCATCAGGTCTGCTGCAGAAGTGGCTAATAATCTATTCCCTCTTTATTGTAGCGTGCAAAGCTCAAAGAGCACTCTGCAGAATGAAGCACTTATCACCCAAGTGAGGCTTAATCTTGCAATGATAGAATTATCCATTTCTCCCCCATTCATAGGCAACTCAACTTTTGTCTTATTTCAGGGCAGAATTTGCACACAGAGACCTTCCCTCAATATTCAGGTTATTTTGCTTTCTATGCTTATAAAATACTACAAGGATGCTGGAGAGGGACTGCAGTGACAGGACAAGGGGCGATGGGTTCAGACTGAAACAGGGGAAGTTTAGATTGGAGATAAGGAAGAAGTTCTTTACTGTGAGGGTGCTGAGGCACTGGAATGGGTTGCCCAGGGAGGTTGTGAATGCTCCATCCCTGGCAGTGTTCAAGGCCAGGTTGGACAGAGTCTTGGGTGCCATGGTTTAGTGTGAGGTGTCCCTGCCCATGGCAGGGGGTTGGAACTGGATGATCTTAAGGTCCTTTCCATCTCAAACCATTCCATGGTTCTACGCTCCCCGTGATCATTGCTTTCTTCCCTTTGAGTGTAACCCCAAGAGGCAAATGAGGAATAAGGAAGGTTTCTTGCCTGTCCCTCCCTGGCTGGGGACCATTCAGAGCTGCCTGGATGGGAGCCACATTTCCTCAGCATCTGCTTTCCTGCACACCACTCATCATTTTGGGGCTGGCTGCCAGCAAACACTTTAAGGGATATCTTGAGCGTGGCATTAGGCTCCTGGCCAGGGAACCTCAGCAGACACCTCCCCTCTGGGGGCAAAGCCCAGCCTGTGTGCCCGCAAAGGGCTGTTGGATCTCGGAAATGACATGGAAGGGATGGCAGCCTGTGTCAGGATGGGGACGGGGGCAGGCTGCAAGTCATGCATTAGAAGCCCATCCTTGAAGCCCGTCAGCTGCCAGGGCTCTGCACAGCCAGACAAATGCTCCAGCTTAGCATCATGGAATACTTTGGGTTGGAAGGGACTTTAAAGGTCATCCAGTTCCAGCCCCAATTTGCTCATGGGAACAAGTTCTTTGGCGAGGATGGGAATATCAGGCACACAAATGGCAATGAGATGTGGTTATGAGGTGGCTCTGCCTCGCTGCCTTTGCAGTATTCTTTAGGGGACAGGAGGGAGAATAACCTTTACAATTCAGCCATAGCATCACTATAATGTCTACCTTCCACTTTTCTGCCCCCATAATCATAGAATCATGGAATGGTTTGGGTTGGAAAGGGCCTTAAGTTCCAACCCTCTGCCATGGGAAGTGTTCAAGGCCAGGTTGGACACATGGGCTTGGAGCAAGCTGCTCTAGTGGAAGGGGTCCCTGCCCGTGGCAGGGGTTGGAGCTGGATGGGCTTTAAGGTCCCTTCATCCCAAACCAGTTTGGGATTCTGTGATTTTATGTATATGCCACGAGCTCCAAGTGAGCCACAGGCTACAAAGCACGCGGAAGACTTCCCTGGCCAAATCCAAACAGGATTCACATCCCATCCAAGCGCTGCTGGGCCCAGCATTGCTGCTAACCCAGCATTTGCTCATGCAGCCCAAAACAGGGGAAACAGCAGCCTGTGGAGAGAGCTTTTTTGGCATCACAGCAGCCCCAGAGTGAGTCAGGTCCTTATTGCACTTGTCAAAAGGGTTTCCAAGATGCACATTGCTGAGGTCCCCAGTGCCAGCCTTGGCAGTGACAGCGTGCACAGAGGCTGTCCCAGGCTATGGACTACACTCAGCCTTCAAGGAGCTTGACTCCCGCTGGCCCCATGTGCCCTTTGAGCCAACCCTGCTGATGGACAGGGTCCAAAGGCTGTTGTACACTGGGTCTGCAGAGGCGACATGAGCAGGTCTCCTGCCTCTGCACTGGGTTTGTCTGCAGGGGTTCAGCCACACACTGATGCTTCTGCATGGTGCGCCTGGATGGATGCTCTTGGCCAAGCCCATGGAGACCAGGAATGAGAGAGGCCGCAGGTTTGGGCATCACCTGCTGATTTTGGTGCCTTGTAGAGTCATAGAATCACAAAATCCCAGCCTGGTTTGGGCTGGAAGGGACCTTAAAGCTCCTCCAGCTCCAACCCCTGCCACAGGCAGGGACCCCTTCCACTGGAGCAGCTTGCTCCAAGCCCCTGTGTCCAGCCTGGCCTTGAACACTGCCAGGGATGGGGCAGCCACAGCTTCTCTGGGCACCCTGTGCCAGCGCCTCAGCACCCTCACAGGGAAGAGCTTCTGCCTAAGAGCTCAGCTCAGTCTCCCCTCGGGCAGGTTAAAGCCATTCCCCTTGGCCTGGCCCTACAGGCCCTTGTCCCAAGCCCCTCTCCAGGTTTCCTGCAGTCCCTTTAGGCACTGGAATCCTTTAGGTGTTAGAAGCCTGGCTCCTCTGCATTAGGAGGGGGCACTTGTCAGTACTAGGATCCTGCAGCGGGAAGGCAATGTGGTCCCCACTCCATGCCCTGCATCCCATCCTTTCACTATGCACTCTCCTCCAATCAGCCGCCGGCATCTGAAGCCAACATCTCCTTTTGTCTCCGTGCCCTTTACTAGGAGCATCCTCGAGGAAACCAGCTGCAGGGACAATGCCTGTTGCCTGTTGTGAGCTGCTGCTCCCTGCCAGCACCGGGGTCAAGCTGCTCCAGTCATCCAGCACCCTGTGGAGAATGAATGAGCCCCTTACTCTGCTCTTGGCTTCTCAGGGGCTGCATTAGCACAACCATAGCAACGGCAGCCTGCAAGCAGTGCTGCTGGATCCCCAGCCAAAGGGCTGTGCAAAGCTCTGCCTTCACTCTAATGTGTGCTTTCACGAGCCCTGTTCTAGCAGCAGATGCCACAAGTCTGTATGAGGATAAAGGAGAAGCCAGAGGCCAAATCCTGACCATGGAAGGTCTGATCTCTGTGCCTGAGGGTTATAACATAGCGTTTGGCATCTCATGGGATGACATTAAGGGTATCCCATAGGATCGAGCTTCTACTGCTACTAAACTGGGAGCTTTTGGATGAAAACCTCCAGGCTTAAAGAAACTTAATGAAATGGATCAAACCAGCTGGAATCGCTTGGTGGGGTTTGGTTATCACGTCTCTACTGCCTTTCTTATGGCATTTCTTAACTGCTTTGGCTTCAATATCACAAAACCCACCCAAAATCAAAGTAAAACTGTTCCAGAGGTGATAGTAATGTCTGGAAGTGCAGCCATGGAGGAGCTGTGGCTTTGGGTCACATCCCCATTCAGAGCAGGCTGCATTTCCCCACAGGAGGCAGAGCCTGTGTTTCGAGCATCTCCGTGTTACCTTTTCATTCCTCCCTCCTGATCATTTCCTGCTTTTCTGCTGGCTCAGAAGTGATTGCTATCACTGAAAACTCAAGAGACAGCTTGTTCGCAACACCAAGAAGGGAAAAACCTGAAGGACAAGTTGCTTTGCTGGAAAACACTGTAAAAGCTCTGTAAGGCCCAGCTGCACCTGAGCTGGGAGCGGGGATGTTTTGCTGCATCCCTTGTTAACACAGTGGCCGCATCTCTACTGCATCGCATCCCATCCAGGCACCATGGAAGGAGATCTGGGGGCAGGGGCAGAGGGAGCTCCAGAGCACCCCAGAATGTCCCACTATGGAGGGTTGGATCCAAGGCTGCATGGCTTTGGACAGATCTCACGTGCGCTGTTAACAACACCCATGTCTCCTCCTGCAAGGTGTTCTCCAGTGGGTTGAGTACATCTGGGATCAGTTCTGCACTGGAAGAGCCCCAGGGTCTACAATGCAAATCCAGGATGACACCAACTGCTCTGCACTCTCCATGCCATAACTCCTTCGGGGCAGCTCAGCTGGCTGTGCCACTGCTGCAACAGTGGGGTTTCCTCTCCGTCTAGAGAGGGATGCTGTCAGCGCTATCCCAGAGCAGCCCAAGGGGACACACACTGGTTACACCTCTCCAAAGCAACTCGGCAGAGCCATAGGAAGCTCTTCCCTGTGAGGGTGCTGAGGCGCTGGCACAGGGTGCCCAGAGAAGCTGTGGCTGCCCCATCCCTGGCAGTGTTGAAGGCCAGGTTGGACACAGGGGCTTGGAGCAAGCTGCTCCAGTGGAAGGGGTCCCTGCCCGTGGCAGGGGTTGGAGCTGGAGGAGCTTTAAGGTCCCTTCCAACACAAACCACTCTGGGATTCCATGTCCTGCTGAGCCAGTGGGTGAACAGCACTGCCCAGTGATGTCCATGTGATACAGGGTTAACCAATGTACAGGGGGGTTGTACAGGGGGGTTAGAGGAATCTGCTTGCTTAAACAAAAGTATTGTCTGTACCTATCATGCCTACTAAGCAGAACAAAGGCACCAACCATTGATAAGGAAAAGCAGACACCTGGTTCTATCAAGGAAAAGCAGAGCCCTGATTCTACTGATAAGCAGCTATTGATAAGGAAAAGCAGATGCCTGAAGGGAGAGATGCAGGTGGGTTATGGCTGGGACACCGACCAAACCCTAAGGCCATACGTGAAGACTAAAAGGTGAAAAGTGCAAGAAGAGGAAGCCTCATTTACTTCATCTTGAAGACCCCTACCCACAGGAGGAAGACTCAGTTACTTCATCTTGAGACCCTACCCACGACCAGAGGGGGCACTGCGCAGGTGCAGAGGACCTTCTGGCTCATTATAATACGAAGCAGGGATAGGACATGAATATGTATAGGCGTGTTGTGCAACCTTATGAATATATATAACTTTAGAGAATAAATGTAGAGGGAAACAACACTGAAGCACGCATGACTTTGGGGAATTATCCCCGTGCGTCTCAGCGCTGAATAAAAAGCATACCTGCTTTACAACTTGAACGAGTCGTGGAGTCAATCCGCGCATCACATGTTGTTAATTCTCTTCCAAAAGAGGCAGCCTCATCCATCCCAGGTACCAGCAAAGGTCCCTGCTCTCTGCCATTGCCCAAAGTGTGCCAACATGGAATCGCATAGAGTTTGGAAAAGCATTACTTAGCATGGGCTGAACCTATGCCATGAAGCATTCAAACACCTATGGCATCAGGACCAGTATGGCCCAGTGCTCCGGTGCATCAGATACTGGTGCAGAGCTGACCACTCAGCTGCACGTAGCAGTCTCAAAACCTTATCCAGGCTCTGAAGCAGAGCCTATGCCTCTTTGCAGGTATTGTTTTGGACCCATACAGAGACAAAGATCTGCTGCCTCTAAGTATTGGGGTATTCAAAACCTCTCCTGCCACAACAAACTAAAAACTTCACACAGATCCCATCTGAGATTAAGGATTGACATGACAATGGGAAACTCCGGGATGTCACCTTCCAGCTGGGCTCCTGATGGGCTGTAAATGGCCTCAGGCTGTTTGCACTCTGATAGCTTACCTCTGGGCCTCCCATCTCCTTATTTCCCAGTGCATCCTATCCAAAACCCCCTGTCTCTCCTTTCCATCAGCACCCGATGCCTTCCACACAGCAGTTTGTCTGGGTCCCAGTTTGCTAATGTGTCTGTTCCCAAGCCTGCTTGGGTTTCCTTGGAAGAATTCCCTTTTGGGGTGAGCAGGGACATGTGTATAAAGCAAAGTGCCTGTTCCCAGGGCTGCAAAGCAGAGTCCTCCATGCTCCTCCCAGTGTCCCACCCTCAAGCATGGGAATGCCATTCCTGAGGACAGACCCTGAGCAGGGCAGCACTTTAGACCAGGAAAACTGAACTTATGGAGCAAGAGAAGCTGGAACTCCGTGGGTGTAGGTGCTGTATGAGGCATGTTGGTACTCCCATGCGCTTCCCTAGTGCCCCCGTGCTCAGAAACAACAAAGCAACCCAGAAAAGGGGGCAAAAGTTAACTAACTCAATGAGAACAAGCCTCCATCCTCCTCTTCATACAGTGAGACAAGCAGAGATGTGCAAGTGCAATGTCTCCTCCTAATCCCTTGTCCTAACATGGCCTGGGATTCCCTGCAGGCTCCCAGAAGACGCCTCTAATTCCACTTTCCTTCCATCCCAGACCTTTGTACCCATATGTACTTGGGGCTGGGGAGGGAAGGAGCTGGGATAAAGCTATTGTGGCTCCTCAGAAGAGAAGATTTCTCTTACCTAGAGCTAGGAAGCTGAAGACCCAATGAACCACCGATGCCGTCTGAAGCCTCCTGTGCAGCGGCACGGAGAGGGGAGCGAACTCAATCTTCATCTTGGGCTCTGCACCCACGTCTCAGGAGGAGAAGGGAGCTCCACAATTGGTGAATGCAAAGTGCAAAGTCAATATTGACCCAGCCTTACAGGAGAGGGGATTGGGCAATGTACAGTGCTGGTGGTGGTGGTTGCCTGCAGCCACCCTCCCACATGGGGAGGAGAAGGAGGCTGCCGGAGGTGTAACCCGCTTTGTGTCAATGTGACTCAGCATGTGGTTAGAGGGTGAGGAGCTCCTGCTTTACCACTCAAACCCGGGGAATAAACTCCTTTCTGGACCCAACTGTGTCTTCGAATGTCCGAATTCTGCAATATTTGGATGTTCATGGAGAGGATGAAGCATTTGGAGCAAGTCCAGAGGAGGCCACGAGGATGCTCAGGGGCTGGAGCAGCTCCTGTATGGAGCCAGGCTGAGAACACTGGGGCTGTTGAGCCTGGAGAAGAGAAGCTGCGTGGAGACCTCAGAGCAGCTTCCAGTGTGTGAAGGGGGCTGCAAGGATGCTGGGGAGGGACTCTTCATTAGAGACTGGAGTGATAGGACAAGGGGTGATGGGGTCAGACTGAAACAGGGGAAGTTCAGGTTGGAGATAAGGCATTGGAACTGGCTTCCAAGGATGTTGTGACTGCCCCATCCCAGGCAGTGTTCAAGGCCAGGTTGGACACAGGGGCTTGGAGCAAGCTGCTTGAGTGGAAGGAGTCCCTGCCCGTGGAAGGGGTTGGAACTGGATTAGCTTTAAGCTCCTTTCCAACCCAAACCAGGCTGGGATTCTATGATTTGTGTGTGTGAACCAGGCCTTATTTCCCCCATTCCCCTACAAACCACCCTGTGCAGAGCAGGAAGGGACAAGCATGGGCAGTTCAAGTGTATTTGCAAGTGATACGGGGTGAAGGGATTTCAGTCTCAGCCAAGGAGGTGGGGAAACAACACAAAGGGGTTTCACTGAGGGCAGGGATACATGAGCAGCATCACGCCTCTGACAAAGGGATGGATGGATGGATGGATGGATGGATGGATGGATGGATGGAGCAGACAAGTACCCACACACATGTTTCTGTGGTGTATGAGGAAGGCAATGCTGCCTCCAACCGCAATCAGAGCCTCAGCCGAGGCACATACAAAGAGCTGTGATTTACTGAATGGAAAAAACTGCCATTCAGAAATTTTGGGGAAAAAAATCCGCATGGAACAGAGAAAGTGCTCAGGTAAACACAGAAACCATCTTGTGCGAGGCCTGGGAAAACCAAGGGTCTGGTGGTAACCAGGATACAGCATAAGGCTGCTAGGAGGCTGAACTGAACAATGAGCCAGCCCACTGCTAGAGCACCGCCACGCATACAAAGGCATCGGTGAGAAAATGAACATGAGCCGGCTGCAGTGTGCGCTCGCAGCCCAGAAAGCAACCGTATCCTGGGCTGCATCCAAAGGAGCGTGACCAGCAGGGCGAAGGAGGTGATCCTGCCCCTCTGCTCTGCTCTTGTGAGACCTCACCTGCAGCATTGTGTGCAGTTCTGGTGTCCTCAACATAAGAAGGACATGGAACTGTTGGAACGAGTCCAGAGGAGGCCACGAGGATGAGCAGGGGCTGGAGCAGCTCCTGTATGGAGCCAGGCTGAGAACATTGGGGCTGTTCAGCCTGGAGAAGAGAAGCTGCGTGGAGAGCTCAGAGCAGCTTCCAGTGTGTGTGAAGGGGGCTACAAGGATGCTGGGGAGGGACTCTTCATCAGGGACTGCAGTGATAGGACAAGGGGTGATGGGTTCAAACTGAAACAGGGGAAGTTTAGATTGGATATGAGGAAGAAGTTCTTTACTGTGAGGGTGCTGAGGCACTGGAATGGGTTGCCCAGGGAGGTTGTGAATGCTCCATCCCTGGCAGTGTTCAAGGCCAGGTTGGACAGAGCCTTGGGTGCCATGGTTTAGTGTGAGGTGTCCCTGCCCATTGGTATCGGGGGTGGAACTGGATGATCTTAAGGTCGTTTCCAACCCTAACAATTCTATGATTCCATGATTCTATCATTCACTGAGCCAAGGGGCATCTCAGATCCCCAAACCTCCCCACCACCAGAAATTACAGAACAAAATGGAGCACAGCCCTTGGCAAAAGCAAAGCAGAGGTGTTAGGTGGAAAATAACCCCTTATTTTTGTCAGGATATGAGGCATTTACATCTGCTAGACTTCATTTCTGGAGTCACTGCAAACAACAGGGCTCCGGTGTAACCCCAAAGGCTCTCTTCCTAAAGACACCAATTGCTTCAACTGAGCTGAAAGCGGTTTAGGTTTTGCTTGAATCTCTCCCCATCCTTTGTCTTCTGCTGCTCTGAAAGCAAAGAGTCTTTTAACTCTTTCAGCTCTGTTGCTTGGAGATGAGATGTTTCCTATGAGGAACCACCAGCAATGCTGTGGGCAGATCTGCAGGTCCAGAGCTCCTCATCTTCCTGAGCTGTGCAACCCCCAATACAGTCATAGAATCACAGAATGGTTTGGCTTGGAAAGGACCTTAAGATCATCCAGTTCCAACCCCCTGCCATGGCCAGGGACACCTCACACTAAACCATGTCAGGAGGGTCCATGGTGTGTCCAAGGAGGGGACACCCCTGGTCCAGAGGTGATGCTTCAAGGTGTTTTCCATCCTGAAGTCCTGGTTGGTACCAAGCTTTGCCAGGGACCTCTTCAGGTTTACTCTAGTGTAAATGGTCATACCTGAGCTCTGGGTGCTCTGGCACAGTTGAGCACCTCAGACTACAGCCAAGGCACTGATTTCTCTGCAGGAACCCATCCCTGAAGGCCTCGCCTTGCTCTTTGCCAGTCGCATTGTCCTGCTCTGCTCCTTTCCTCTTGCTTTCTCCCCCTGTCACTGTCCAAACTGTGGCAGGGGAACTGCAGATGTGGGTGGCTGTCAGAAAAGGTGCCATCAGCTCTGGCACTGCTTTACAGGTAGGTCCTGGCCTCATGTCATCAACCCCATCCCTACTAACGGGTGTTGCTACTGTTGGAACATCCTTCACAACTCAGTAGTCATGGGATCATCTTAGAGGATTGGAAGGCCAAAACCAAACCCCAAAACCAACCTTATGGAATAGACTAGTATAAACCTATCCGGTCAAAATAGGAAGACGGAGTTTAGCTTTACAGTGACTTCATATGGGTCTAGGATGGAAATGGAGAGGGGAAGAGTCATCTGCTGTGTCTGTGGGGACCAGCACACTTCAGAGTGTCCTAGAAAGGAGCCATGCGATGGTATAACCTTATATCACATCTGTCCTTGTAATACCCCAAACCCCATCTTCCATGCTCTGGGGGAAGTGATTATATGGGATGAGAAGGATTTCTACTGGGAAGTGAGAAGATAGGGATTTATCCCCAGGCTTTCTGTATAATTTTCAGCAAGTCCCTATCTGCGCACAGGTGATGACTTGCAATTTAAAAGCAGTGATAACAGTGCAGAAAACCTCACTTAGACGAACCTCTCCATGGTAGGAACTATCCACCAAAAGGCCCATCCAACTTCTCCTGTAGCCACATGTTTCTCTGGTCACTTACATTCTCCTTCTCTTGTTCTCTTTGCTGACTTGGGTTTCCGTTGCAGATAGGGTGAGGGTGGATGGTCCCCATGGCAGCATCAGAGGCAGATCATAGAATCGTGGAATCCCAAATTGGAAAGGACCTCAAGGATCATCTGCTTCAGCCTTTCTAGGCAAAGCATGACCTAGGCTACATGGCCCAGCACCCTGCGCATCCCAGTATTCAGTAGATCATTGCTGAGCTGTGACTGCAGGGATGGAAGGGACCCCTGGGACCAGCCATGACCACAGTAATCCCTACAATCCCATGTCAGCACCCGTTTAATTTACCCCCATTGCTTAATTCTCACCTCGATGGCTTTTAAACCTCATTATCTGTAATTTTCTTGCCATTTCCCCTTGTTTCCTAACATCCACTCACATACACGTGGCCCCTGAGGTAGCTCCAACTCCATCCTCCTTGGCTTTTCCATTTGCAGGTATTTATAGCCATTTATCCAATTTCTTTTGCTTGCATTTAGCCTGGAACATTAAGTTCCTTTAATCCCTCAATAGGTCGTTCTCTGTAATCCCTTTATCACTGGCCTTTGGACCAATGGATCAATGTCCATCTCTGAGTACAAGGAGGAACCCATAAAGCCCTGAGTCACCCAGCTCTTGGCTTCTGCAAGTCACTGAGCTTTGCAATGCAGCACAGTGGGATGTGCCCATGGGACTTCATGAGTGGAGCAGGCTGCACATGGAGACCTGGCCATGCTCCAGGGTAGGGGCTAAGAAAGCCTAACACGGAGGACATGAAGAGACACATGTAAGGGACAATGCAATGCCAGGAAGGCATAGGTATCCTGCTTTCCCTGCCAGAGGAAGCTGGTCGTGGCTCCTTGTTGAAGGCCCACCACATGTAGACCCTATGGGACTTGATGCTGCAGCACAGGAGATATAAGCACTCTCAAAATCACTGTTCCTCTCTTCAGATCATAGATAACACACTTTTTTTCCCCCTAAAGCCTTTCAGTCATTCCTAGTATCATAGAATCATAGAATCCCAGACTGGTTTGGGTTGGAAGGGACCTTAAAGCTCATGCAGTTCAAACCCCCTGCCATGGGTAGGGACAACTTCCACTAGAGCAGCTTGCTCCAAGCCACCTTCCCCTCCTGTAGGGTCTTGCACTGAGATTTGCCGCTCAGTTCCCACAAGACCATAACATTGTTTCCTACCACAATTGGTGGTTGCATGTGTACAGGGCAAGGGGGAGAGCATGCAGCGACAGCATATGATGAGATGTCAGTTGGGGGGCTGGGAAAACAAGCAGATCCCTCTTGTTGTCCAAGCTCCAGCAGAGAAAGACATAAATCTGGGCAAGCTCTTTCAGTGGCAGCATCAGTTCTCATTGCCTAGCTGGTGAGTATGCTCTTCGTGGTGTCATGAGATGCAGGAGAGACCATTCAATCTGCCTCAGGATGGTCTCCAGTGCCTTAAGCCTGACTGCAGAGCATCCTGGCTTCATCTGAGGATGTCAGAAGGAGATTCACCAGGTCTCCTGTTAATCAACTCCTGAAGCATCCTGCTTGTCACTGCACGAGGGATGCTTGGAGCTATTCCAGATCCCAGCACAGATGGGGCATGGAACCACTGCCTGGGGGTCTCCCCAAAGTCAGTGTTGATTTGGGGGGCTGTGAAATACGGGGCTGGCTCTGGCTTGCAGCCCACCACGGTGCCCTTGGCATCGTGAACCTTTTGAGCAGGGCTGTACTTCAGGATGCTACAGTCTGACACGAGTGGCACCCATGTCCTTGGTCATCCCCAAGACCAGCGTCCCAGCACAGAACCATGGAATCACTTAGGTTGGAAAAGCTCTGTAAGTTCATCAAATCCATCCCTTTCCCAGCACTGCCAAGGCCACCACTGCCCCATGGCACTGAGGCCTCGTCTCCACACTGTGTGAACACTTGCAGGGCCGGTGACTGCAGCCCTGCCCTGGGCAGCCTGTTCCAATGCCTGAGCACCCTCTGGGGCAGGAATTGTTCCTCAGCTCCATCTAAACCTGCCCTGGTGCAGCTTGAGGCCGTTTCCTCTTGTCCCATCCCTTGTTCCTTGGGAGCAGAGCCCAGCCCCTCCTGGCTCCATCCTCCTCTCAGGCACTTGTAGGCAGCCATCAGGTCCCCCCTGAGCCTTCTCTTCTCCACACTGAACCCCCCTGGCCCCTCAGCCATTTCCAGACTCCAGGCCCTTCAGCATGCAGCATCATGCTCAGCTATGGCCTTTTCCCAGAAGCAGCTGGAGAAGGAGGAATCTCTTCCTGCTCTCCCCCATGGTGGTTATTTAAACACTTGTGTCCATTCCCCTCCCATCCTCTCTCGGAGGTTTGCAGCCAGCGAATCAATTTCACTGATGGGAACTGATGGATTTTGCTTGTCTTGCCTATTCCATAGCCAGTTCCTGAAAGTGAGCTAGCATCAGGATTCATATATCACTCAGTATCAACACTCAGCAATTGATCTCCCGTTCCGCAGCGTCTAACTCCATCCAGGTCTGCAGTGAGGAGGCTCCTGACACTGCAAAACCTTGGCCTTTCTTATCAAAAAAAAAAGGGAGAAAAAATATCTGTTAAAACGTGAAATAGGGGGAAAACAGAGAAAATAGAATAATAAACTATCAATAATAAATCAAATAATGGCATGTGTGTGGCTTCATCCTTAAAACCCCAATAGGGAGAGGAAATGAGTTCAGCAGGGTGATGCTGCAACTGCTCACTGAAGGTGTCCATGTGCGTTTGTGCATATGTGTGTGTTTCGGGGTGCCTGGGTCTGTGTGTGTTGGCATAGATGTACATATTTGGGTGTGTATGTGTGTCTGTGCACATGTATGTGTATGTATGCGTGTGCATGTGTGTATGTGTAGGCATCAAAGCGCATGGAAGAACATGTGTGTACCCATGCATGCGTATCTGTGCATGGCAGATGAGCTTCCAACCCAAACACGTCTGTGTTTCTGTGACTCTGTGTGTGTCCCTCTACATGTGTGTTCACGTGTGTGCATGTGCAGCTAAGGGCAGTCAGCTGAACCCATGACAACATGTGTTCTTGCATGTGGGCATGCATGTGCGTGTGTGTGTGTGGGTGAGTTTTTATGGTTGTCCATGTGTATGCATTAGTGCATGCGTGTACAGGTGTGAGTGTGCATGCGTGTGTTTGAGTGTGTGTGCACGCATGTATGTGCATATCTGTTAGTGTGTGTGAGCGTGAATGCGTGTGCACACTTCTGTGAGTGCATACATGTGTGAACATGAGTTTGTGCATGTGTGGTGCATGTCCTGTGTGAGTACACACGTGTTCATGTCCACATGTATGTGCGCAGGTGTTTGCACACAAATGTCTTGCATATGTGTTTGCGTTCATGTGTATGCACATGTCTGTGCAGATGTCAGTGTGCATGCATGTATGTGTGCTGTGCACATACATGCATGTGTGTATGCACGTATGTCTGCATGTGTACTGCGTAACTATGTGCAGGTATGTGAGTGACCATGTACGTGCGTATTTGTGCAGGTATGTATGCATGCATGTGTATGTGTGTAAATGTGTGTGCATGTGTATGTGCTGCCCACGTGTCCATGTCCGCTTCATGCATTTGTATGCATGTGTGTAGGTCTGCATGTGTGCATCCATGTATGTGTGTGTAAGTGTGCACTTAGGTACATGTATGCAGTTGTACATGTATGTGCACATTGCATGTGGTTGGATGTGTGTGACTGTGCTTGCATGCATGGGCATGTCTTGCATGTGTATGTGTGTGTGTCAGCATTCATTCACGGGCTTCTTGCATGTGTTTGTGCCATAGTATGTTACTGTGCATGCATGTTCATGGGTGTGTTTTGCACATGTATGTGTGTACATACATGTGTGCATATTTTACATGTATGTGTCACCGTGTGTGATTGCGCATGTGTTCATGCATGCATGGGTGCATCTCGTGTGTGCAGCGGTGTAACTGCATATGTGTGCATGCATGTATGTGTGTGTCTCGAACATGTGTATGCAGGTGTGTGACACTGCACATATGTGCATGGGGGTGTTTCGCCTGCGTGTGTGCAGGTGTGTGATTGTGCATGCGTGTGTACATATGCATGCGTGTGTGCACGTCAGTGTGGGCACACATGTGCATGAACGTGCCTTGTACACATGCATGCAGCTGCGTGTGCATGTGTGCTTGTGCATGTGTGTGCATGTGCGTGTGCATACGTGCACGGTGTGTGTGCTGTGCATGTGTGTGCATGCAAGGGCGTGACTGCGCACGTGTTCATGTATGCATGTGTGTGTGCAGGTGTGCGCTTGTGCATGTGTGTTCATGCAAGGGCGTGCGTTACATGTATGTGTGACTGTGCACGCGTTCACGTATGCATGTGTGCGTGCAGGTGTGCGCTTGTGCATGTGTGTGCATGCAAGGGCGTGCGTTACATGTATGCGTGACTGTGCATGCGTTCATGTATGCATGTGTGCGTGCAGGTGTGTGCTTGTGCATGTGTGTGCATGCAAGGCCGTGTCTTACATGTATGCGTGACTGTGCACGTGTTCACATATGCATGTGTGCGTGCAGGTGTGCGCTTGTGCATGTGTGTGCATGCAAGGGCGTGCGTTACATGTATGCGTGACTGTGCATGCGTTCATGTATGCATGTGTGCGTGCAGGTGTGTGCTTGTGCATGTGTGTGCATGCAAGGGCGTGTTGTACACGTGACTGCACACGTGTTCATATATGCATGTGTGCGTGCAGGTGTGTGCATGCATGGGCATGCCTTGAACACGCGTGTGCAGCCGTGTGACCTCGCCCACATGCGCATGCACGTCTCACACGTGTGCGCGCCTGGTACATGTATACGCACACACAGCCGAGTCACCGCGCGCGCGTGTGCATGAACACGCCTTGCACATGCATGAACACACGTGTTCACCTCCGCTCCCCCCACCCCACCCAAGCCCCGCCCACTCCGCCCAAGCCCCGCCCCTCTCCCGTTACGTCGTGGGCGTGCCCTGTGCGTGCCGTGCCCTGTCCCCCCCCCCCCTTACCGCGCATCCCTCATCCCTCCGCATCCCTCCCGCATCCCTCCCGCATCCCTCCCGCATCCCTCCCGCATCCCTCCCGCATCCCTCCCGCATCCCGGTTCTCGGCTGCCGTGCGGGGAGGCTGCGGCTCGGGGCCGCCATGGCGTGGCCCTGCATCAGCCGCGCCTGCTGCATCGCCCGCTTCTGGAGCCAGCTGGACAAGGCGGACATCGCCGTCCCGCTCGTCTTCACCAAGTACTCCGAGGCCACCGAGCACCCCGCGGCTCGCCCCGGTCCAGCCGCTCCCATCGATACCCAGCCGGGCGCTGAGGCGGCGGCTGGTGGTGCTGGTGGTGAAGCGGCCCCAGGTGCGGCTCGGCCCGGCCCGGCCCCTCACGGGTCCCCCCCGGCTGACTCGGTGATGCGGCACGACTACAAGCCGTGGAAGGTGCAGCGGCCGGAGCCGAGCTGCAAGCCCAAGAGCGAGTACCAGCCCTCGGATACGCCCTTCGAGAAGGAGACGCAGTACCAGAAGGATTTCCGCGCTTGGCCCATTCCCAAGCGGGGAGATCATCCCTGGATCCCTAAACCGGGACCTTCCCCCGTGCTCGCCCTGGACCGTGGGTCCCCGGAGAAACCGGCTCAGGAGAAGCGGAGGAAGGTGCTGCCCGGCGCCGAGAGGAAGGAGGAGGATGGCGAAGCGGAGGATGAGCATCCCAAAGCGGTGCGGGCCGGGGATGGCAGGGACAAGGCTCGGAAGAAGGTGGAGGAGACGGAGGTGGGCAGGGGCAGGGCGGCTGCTGATGCCCTCAACAGGCAGATCAAGGAGGAGGTGGCAGCGGGGGTCAGCTCGTCATACAGGTGAGACCCCCCCGTACTGATCCTTTATGCCCATCCTTATCCCCGTCTCCATCCTCATCCTCATCCCCTCTTCAGTCCCCTTTGCCCATCTCCAGCAGGGACATCCCCACCTTGGGAGCTGGGTGAATGCAGCTTACAAACACTGTTTTGGGGGATTTGCTCATCTCCCACCCAGGGGACGTCCTTAAAATTCCCCACCTCTCTGGGTGTCAGCGGTGTGTGTTTGCTATTCAGGTACTGAATACATGGGCTCTTTATGTCGGATGGGCTTGCAGCAGGTTCCCCATCACCCATCCCTCTCATATCCCCAAATTCAGATGCACCCCTAGCTTGGCTTTCAGCAGGAGAGGTTTGGGTCACCTCTCTGGGATGTGCAAGTCAACCCTGGTCCTTTCCAAGTGTATCCCTGGCTGTTGTGGGGAAGGATCTGAAGGACCAGCATCCCAAGGGTCAACATTCCTGCATCCCAAGGGTCCCAAGGGCCAGCACCCCTGCATCCTGAGGGTCCCAAGGGCCAGCATCCCTGCATCCTGAGGGTCCTTGGACCAGCATTTCAAGGGTCCCAAGGACTAGTATACCTGCATCCCAGGGGTCCCACAGACCTGCATCCCGGGGGTCTCAAGGACCTGCATCCCAGGGGTCCCAAGGACCAGCATCTCTGCATCCCAAGGGTCCTTGGGACCAGCACCCCTGTATCCTAGGGGTCCCACAGGCAGATGGGGGTCCCACACACGAGTGGGGTGCCCCACACACGGGAGGGTCCCACACATCCCCCTAGGCTGGTGTTATTCCCGAGACAAAGCATCCCAGGGATGCAGCAGGATGCGGGATGCGGTTGACACGCGTCCTAGGCCGCTTGGGTGGGGCAGCCTTCGGATGCTGCCATGTTTAACGCAGCGCGGCGGGGGGTGGCATATCCTTCTGCCCCCCATCCCCATCCGGGGCTTAGAAAGGGGGTGTCCTTATTTCACCCCAGGAAGAGACCCCGTTTGGGATTCAGAGTGGGAAACTCCTCGCTGGGAGATGCTGTTGTTTCTGAAGGGGTTGGTTGGATGCGTTGGGAATGCAAAACAAAAGTGATGGGAGCCGGGAGGAGAGGGGGGGGCTGCTCTGCACGTACGTGTGTGAGGAGGGTTTGCAGTGATTGTGTTTTCCAGAGCTTTCCTTGGCAGATCCCACCGCTGCCGTGGAGGTGGCAGAGAGCAGAGCTGGGGTTTGGGGTGACAAAAGTGGAATCACAGCCTTTACTCCCTGTTTCCATGTGAATGCTACGGGGGTTTTAATGCCTTGGAATGGTTTATTTTCTTCCCTAGGGAGATGCAGAGGTGACTCCCTGCCCTCAAACAGGTAGTAAATTCATACGGATTTAAAACAAAGCTGGGATTTGGCTTCTCTGTCCCGCTAGACATGGTTCCTGCTGGGTGGGAAATGGTTTAAACAGGGAGATTTTGCCCTTTGCCCTTTTCTTGCTGCATTTTGGCATCAGTTCTGGCTCTTACTGGGGATGTGAGATGTGAGTGCTGCTGCGGGCACAGCTCCATCCAGGTGTGATGGTGGTGATTGGGATGTGAGAAAGCAGCCAGGGGTTTTCGGGATCTGTGTTTTTTCAGGGATAGAAGGCGTAAGGAAAGGCTTTTCCAGCAGTGACACAGTCCTTTCATTGGGATCTCAGCTTCCTGTCACCTTGCAAGGTGTGGGCTCAGGGCTGGTGATGGCAGGACTGAAGCAGAAGGCTGTCCTAGAGCTGCAGAGATGTTGTGTTGCTGTCGTATACTGGTGCAAGGGGTAACTACACTTATTTCCATGTGGATTTAAACATGGATTTCTCACCTTCCCATCCCTCCAACCTGCTCCAGCCTATTCATACACCTGCTGTTCCCAAGCAGAGGGGTTGGGTCAGCTCAGATCTTAAACCTAAGAAGGATTCAGGCCTCCCTGTGTTGCCCCTTGGCTGTCAGGACACCCTTGAGGCTTCTCTTTCCCCTTTGGGTGCTCATCTGCTCTCCCACTTATTCTTCCTTGCAGCATATTGGAGGACAAGTGTTTGCCCTGACGCTCAGCCCTAGAGCATAAGCGCCTCTTCATTAATGCAGAAGTGATGTTGTGCTTAATTGTTCTCATTTTCTGTTCAAATGAGGCATCTTTTAAGTGCTGTTTGTTGTTTGGGTTCTTCTTAAAAGCCAAATTCTCCAAATCCTTATTGCTATCAAGGACCTCGCTGCTCACAGGAGTCCCTCCTGGGTGGGTTTCCAACATCTGCAAGGATGGGAGACTCCATGTGGGCAACCTTTGAGACTAAACATCAGCCAAAATCATCTCCTAGTGATGTAGGATGGCTCCAATGCTTGAAGGGTCCTACAAGGAACCTGGAGAGGGGCTTGGGACAAGGGCCTGTAGGGCCAGGCCAAGGGGAATGGCTTTAACCTGCCCGAGGGGAGACTGAGCTGAGCTCTTAGGCAGAAGCTCTTCCCTGGGAGGGTGCTGAGGCGCTGGCACAGGGTGCCCAGAGAAGCTGTGGCTGCCCCATCCCTGGCAGTGTTCAAGGCCAGGTTGGACACAGGGGCTTGGAGCAAGCTGCTCCAGTGGAAGGGGTCTCTGCTCGTGGCAGGGGTTGGAACAGGATGAGCTTTAAGGTCCCTTCAAGCCAAACCAGTCTGGGATTCCATGGCACATATGGGGCTTGTCCTCCATTGCCTTTGCTGGGTTTTGCATGGATGAAGGCTCCCCAGCAGAAGAGACAGGAGGGGATTTCCTTACAGTCCTTTGTTACCACTGCACATCAGTGTAATGTGATGCTCCAAGGCTGGGAAGCAGTTCCTTGGTGAAACCAAAGAGCACACCAGTAATGGGTTTTAAACTCGCTTTATCCGCCTCAGTATTATTTCCAGGTGAGGGAACAGAGATGGGGATAGAGCAAGCCCCTAGCCCAAGGTCATCAGGGAAATCCATGCAAAAGGGAGGGATTCCCCTTTCCAGCCTCTTTATATCATAGAATGGTTCTGTGTCACCCAAGGCTCTGTGTCCAGCCTGGCCTTGAACACTACCAGGGATGGGGCAACCACAGCTACCTGAGCCCACACAATGCATCAGGATCGGGGTAGGGTGAAGCTCTGGGGCATCATCCTCCAGTTTGTTGTTGTTCTTCTGGGGTCGAGGTTCTGGTTGCCACCATTGTGACTGGGGGTGCTTTGGTGTGATGCAGGTCCCAGCACCGAGGTGCTTCTTGCCTCAGTTTCCCTTCCTAAAGCATGTGCTGCTCAAGCAGTGCTATGGGGCAGGTTGCATCTCTCTTCACCCTTATCTTCTCTGCATCCCTTCTCGTGGTGGCCTCTGGACCAAGAAATGACCAAGTTGAGTGGGAACACTAGGTCTGTGTGAATGTCCTGACCTCTAGATAAGGCTCAGGACCCAACCTAGGGGTTTTTCAGCTCCTTGGAAAGCTGTTGCTGCTGGATGAAGCCTTTTTTTGTTCAGTTCTTTGGTGTCCCATAGGAGGATCTGGTGGCATCCTTGAGGGTTTTATCTGGGCACAGAGGTGGCCCTGGTGACCCCAGTTTCCAAGTGATTGGGATTGAACTCCTGGAAGGGATGGGCAGAGCTCTTCTCCCTGTTGCACCTAAGGATGGAGGGGGATGAAGCCATTCTGGGGGTCTGGGACCAGAGGGAATCCATGCTAAAATGGACAGACAGTGGCATTTGCTGCTGGCAGTGGCAAAGAATGCAAGAAAGAATGACTATTTCCCATTTTTCTTTGGAAAAACTGGTAGAATTAGGTGTTTTCTGGGTGTTTTTCTCCCCTCCTCCTTCTCTGTCTTGCACTCTTCTCCTTTTGTTATATTGTTGCCTGAAGAAAAAATATATACAAGGGAAAGGGGGAACTTCACCCCCTTTGCAGTGTTGAAGTGAGTAGCGAAGTGATGAATTTCCCCCCCGAGAAGTAATATTGCAAAGCCAAGGTTTCATGTTCTTCACCCAAAAAAAAGGTCTTTTATGGGCTTTCTTTTAACCAAAGCAATTATTTTTCCCCACCAATCTCCTTTCCTACCAGAGGAAACAAACCAAGCAAGGCTTCAATGGAAGACTTGGGCCTGCCTCTAGCATTAGTTGCCTGTTGTTAATGTTCTTGTCATTCATCTCAAGCTCTGGAGGTACTAAAGATGCGGAGCAAATGAGAGCTTGTAGTAGCTATAGAGATGAATGAGTCAATGCTGGGGACTTGTGTGGTTTCCTGAGCCACAGAGGAGAGAATTTAGGGAGGGATGCCTATAAAGGAAGGCTGGAGCAAGCTACGTGAGGGCAAGGAATTTGTTCTCCATCATTATAACTGAAAATATAGGGATGGAAGGAATTCCTGTGATCCACATCCCATTTCTGGTGAAGGGAATCATGATCTACACCACAGCAGGGTGGTTTTATCTAACCTATTCCTGCAGATCCCCATTAGAGGACATGTCCCATCTTGGTGAGATACTTGGAACACTGCTTATGCTGGCAGTTGTATCAGATTTGGTGGGGATTTTTCCAATGCCTCCTGAAATTTCCAATCAGATCCGTAGGCTGGGTCTGTATTAGTGAATGAAATGGGTCAGGAGGCGTTCCTGAGCATGGGAACACTCTTCAGTTGTTCAAACAGTCCCTAGCCCACTTCCCAAGTTGAGTTTGGGAATGGGTATGAGCCAAGAACTTATCCCAACAAGCAGTTTGGGTGCAACCACCTTGATCTGGGAGCTAAAGGACTTCAATAGTGTGAGTGAAGGGTATCCCATACTTCAGTGCCAGAGAACATTCCTGGGGAGACACCATTTCCCAGTGTATCAGCTCCAAGCAGTGTCATTGAAGTAACCCATGTAGGCAAATGGATCCAGTTTTGCTCTCAGCTGGAAGGGAAGGAGCAGGATGTTTCCTTCCATCCAGAAAGGGCTGTTCAAAGAGCTGTTTGGTGGCTTTAGCTGAGCTCTGGCTCAGCAGTTACTTGATACCTACCTTTAGCAGCAGGAGGA